ACCATATTATAATGCAATCAAGTATAGGTGGATGCGCTCACGCGAGACCCCGTAATGAGCTTCCATGTTAGAGCACCGTGGCAGTTGCTGGACGCGGAAGACCTGGCCGTCATTGTTTACTGCGTTCTCCTTCTACCCCCTCCCCCGGCTCCTCCCTCGTTTCTGTGTCCACCGGTCTCTTCCTCTTCCAGTTCCTCCTCCGCCTTCTCGCGCCCGCTCTTTCGCTAATCTATTATTCCTGGCCGAGCTGCTTCATAAACTGCTTATCGCTCCGAATCATCCCATCGGGACGCGGGTAGCTGGATGGGACAAGACATCGCGTTAATCAGCTTTATCTCGCCCCCTCCTCTCTCTTTTTCGTCGCGCCGCGCGTCTCTCGCCTCTTTCTTCTCTTTCCCAGAACCGTGTGCGCCGGGCCACGCCGTGTTTCTGCCGAGTCTCCTGCACCTCCATCGGACCGTATCTTATTAGGACGGGATCGATAAAGTTCCTCCGCTGCCCTCGGCGCGCGCGTTTGTCAAAATCCCGCAGGTGTCTGCAGCAAACCGCGAGCTCATCCCGCTTCCCGCCTTGTGCAACTACGCGCGAGCGGAAATTGAAAGTAGCGTTCGCGGCCGCTGACGAAGCTCGGATGGCGACGGCGACAATCGAACGTCTCCGAAAAACGATCGGCTTCCAATACCGATCGATTGATCCCGGGCCTCGTGGAATGTGCTATTAGCTCCGGGGTTTACCGTGCACACCTTCGAGCCGCCGTTGTTCGGCATTTTTGCCGAGTGCGATCGTCGTCGAGTTGACGAAGAATTGAGAACTGACGAACAATTTGGAAAAATCAGCGTTAACGATAACCGATGTAATATTGGGTAGTACGTAATTCATTAAATTATTTTTGATTTTGTTTATTCTCGAATAAAAAGTATTCGGGAGATCGTCGCTGACAATGACCGATAAGACAGCAGATTTGAAAAAGATGTTATGTCCGAACTGTGACAAATATAGGATGATGGAGTTACGTAATTAACTTTATATATTTATCGATATATTAAATTCGTTTATTTACTCGAAAATAAATAAAACAGAAGAATTTAATATGACTTATTCTACAAATATGAAGTTAATTAATGCTGGAAAACGGGCCAAAGGCGCAGCAATTGGCCATCGCACAGTGCCTCAGGTCTAATAATTCAAAAAGCTGATAACTTAATATAAAATATAAAATATAAATAAATATAAATAATATATTTATATAATATAAATATAATAATTTATTTTATATTTTATATAAATATAATATAAATATAAATAAATAAATATAAAATATAAAATATAAAATATTCATCGCTGAATATTTTATTACTGGTGTACGGGAACTACAGTAAGTTCTCTCTAATTGACGTTCGGTTTGTAAACAAAAATGAACAATTTGGGAAGAGGCGATACGATTATTCGAGCCTTGCGCCTCTCGTCTCTATAATTGTTAACAATTGGCGACGATAAAAGCGAGCCACGAAGTTTGAATAATCGTATCTTCTCTTCCCAAATTGTCCATTTTTGTGTACAATCTGAGCGTCAATTTGGGAGAATTTACTGTAATTCCGTTGTGTTCCATTGTTGCTAGAGTTGTATTAAGTCTCCAGTTTCACCGATGCATCTGTAAGCACTTCGAAATTATATCGCACCCAGGCTATGTGAGACGTGAACAGATTAATTTTGCCAATACTAATGACGTGCTATTTCAATACCCATTTGATACCACAACATGATACTCGGGAATTAGTATCGCGTTTTGGTATTAGTATTTCATACATATTCGTACTAATGAGTATGCCATTGAATTTGTCGCATCACCGACAGCCATAAGGGATTATGATACCCAGCCGCCGGTTCGAGAGTACTCTGAATCATTAGTCTCCTTTTTAAATCCTCGGATAACAGTCGAAATCTCCGCCGAAGAATCGAGCGTGCGCATCAAGTAATGATGGAAATTGCATTATTCCTTGATAAACGTGGATATTGATCGATCAGAGTAGACTTGGACAGTGACTAACACTGTCTTTGATTTTCTATACGTGACATAATTACGCGTTTTCATTAACCCTTGTAAGAAACGTAACTTAGTTGAAAATGTCTTTCATCCTTTAATAATTATAGCAAGTTGAAAATGATCTAACAATATCCTCAAATCCTTCTAATGACCTTACGATTTTTTATTTGACCGATTCATTTTTATCATAAATGCATAAAATCCGCAGTCTAAAGCATATAAAATTGTAACACATTACATAATATTTAGAGAATTTATAGCATTTTTATAGCGAATTTATTGACGACATTTTTATCATACTTTATAAGAGGATACAATGTATTTAACACGTTAAATGCCACGGGGGTCACCGGTGACCGGCACTTAACTTGGCGGTGACGCCATGGGGGCTACCGGTGACCGGCGCGCCTAAATGGATAGAAATATATATATATATATATATATATATATATATATATAATTTATAATATATAAAATTTAATGTCAATATCTAACATTTTGTATTATTACCATCGTCAATTCAAACAGTGACCTCTGTCGCAATTAACATGTCAAACATGGTTATACACTGTAACTTATCTATTGCAGATAATATTTCAACATTATATGTATCACATGAAAAAAAATTCATCGTGGCGCTGCGGACAATTTCCGTAAAACCGGCGTGGCATTCAACGTGTTAATACGATAAATACAATAACCGTGTGCATACAAATTTCATCGAAATCTGTGTGTTACACAGAAACGACGTCCACTAGCAGTGTCGCTGCGCAAGATGCGATGAACAAGCTAGAATAAGTTGAAGTCCCCGCCGGACTCACTCGAGTGCACTTGCCCAAGACTTTAATGCTTCTGCAGTACTTATCTGAGTGCACATTATGTCGTTCCGTAGCAGGTATTACGGGAGTAGTTACCGTCGGAGCACCTGTCATCCAAATTGTTTCCAACGAACCGAAGAAAAAGTGTCTGCGCGATGACGCGCCGAGAGTCGCGAGCGATGATTGACTAACTGTTTCATTCATTACTCTGTAGCGAGTCTTGTTTGAAACACCTTGTGCCAAGAGGTTGATACCACCGTCGGCTCGTTATAAGGATGACGGGGCGGAAACGTCGGGACAGAATAAAAGAGAAACGTTACTGCAATTATATCGAGTCCACTTTCGTTTCCCCCTTAAGATTTTTCCTCCGGGTGAACGCCTTCGTCATCCTCGATCCCTCGATCGCCGGTTTATTATTACGATCGGTTCTGGCAAGTTCGCCGGCCGTCCTTCGTGAGACCTTTTCTTGCACCGATGGCTCCGATATTGAAAGCGTTCCCAACTGGACCGATCGTAACACCTGCCGCGCCGCTTAGGGATCCGCGCGACCAAGGTCAAGCACAAAGGCGACTCCTCGTTCAGAAATGGGGATGCACGACGGATTAGGAGCTCCGGAACCTTCGAAACGGATAAAGACCGACTGTCAGCCGCCGCCTTGACGAACAGGGAGGCAGCTCCTTTCTACCACAAAGACCCCAGGATAATCTGTCTTTTGTGTCCAGGAACGATTTCACTTTTTCCTATCTCTTTTAACTGGGAGATGTTAATAGGGGCCTGAACGGCAGCCGCGAACCCCGGTAAAGTGGATTCATTTATTGCGCGCGGATGATATTCTCGCTCCTCCGCGCGAAAAGGGATTGCACCGCGATTGGGCGATTAGACGACAATTCAATTTTTCCACGTGGAAACGGTGGCGAGCGTACTGGAATCTTTCGTGGTCCAGAAAGGATGGAAGGTAGCAAACGCGAGCGGAAAGTCCTATTAAGTGGTTTAAGCAAGGAGTTTGGTTGACGATCGCTGCGTTGCGAATCGAGGACGAAGGACACTTCATTTTTTTCGACCGCGGGCTAACGAGTGTTCGAACTACAGTAAATTCTCCCGAATTGACGCACAGATTGTGCACAGAAATGGACGATTTGGGAAGAGGAGATACGATTATTCGAGCCTTGCGGCTCGTTTTTATAATTGACAATTATTAACAACTATAGAAAAATCTATAAAAATCTTCTCTTCCCAGATTGTCTATTTTTGTGCACAATCTGAGCGTCAATTAGGGAGAATTTACTGTATTTTGATAATTGTCAATTCCTTAACGCTATACTTACCGATATTTTGTGTTATGCAAATAGAAATTTCTTTTTCTCTTCATTAATTTCAGAGAATCGAAAATAATAGATACATGCCCTTACCCTTAAATTGCCTTAATATTTTCATTGTTGTAAATTTCACCTATCCATTTTTATCATAAATGCATAAAATTCACAGTGTAGTGATCACTATAACAAAAGTCCAGAAGTGATTACATATAAACACAGAACATAGGAGATTATTAAAAGATGCGCTTTAACTGCTTTGATAAAAATAGCGTTAAGTAGAAATTATTAAACGGTGTCCTTTAACACCTTCGGTAGAAATAGTGTTTTTCCGAATGAAATATTTTTGGGCAATTTGATCATTTCTTCCGAAAGAAAAATCTCGGTTGTTCCTGAAACAACTATGCTTCAGCAAAATTATGCTACACATACTACTAAATGATCGTATTACGACCACCCTTACGGTTAAAAAAATCGATTTTTTGTTTACTTTCTTTTTTGCGATATTTTAAAATTAGAACATTCGGTAAGTTAAGGTAAAGTTTAAAAAATCTTACCTTATCAGAGAGAAAAATGCTCTTAAAGATTGTTTTATGTTTTTCTTAAAACTATATTGTACAACGTGGTCATCACGAAATCTCTCCGGAACTATACATCCGATTTATATAAAATTTTATGGCGATATGTCAGTTATTATATTTTTGTACAAGTAATTAAAGTTGATGTTTTGGGACAGAAACAGCTGTTCCCATTGTAAAGATACATTTATGAGTTATTTAACCAATACATGTGTTACTTACGATAAATATTATGTATTACAATATATCATATTATTACAATGTTGTTACTTTTATAAATTAATATAAAGCAGCTGTTACCAGTGCTCCGTAATAAACGTTTGCAATAAACCAATCTCGCTCAAAGCGAGTAAATAAAGATGAGTAAACTGAAAGATGTATTCGCACAAAAATCCGGGATGCATTTACGAGAAAAATGCATCCAGAGTTTCTCGCGCGGCATCCAACAGCGAATCGATAGACTTTCGCATAATCGACCGATGCAATCTCGTAGAAACAACCCATCTTCAGAACCCGGTCCTGAGAAATTTCAAGACCGCGAAGCTGAAGGTACAGGAAGGATGCATTGTTCGTGGAGGAGCGTGAATGGTCGTTCGTTAAAAAAAAAATATCCGTTTAAAAGTCAAAGTGAACAAATTCGGTGGCGCGGGTCCATTGGCACGGGGATTTATTTGCGAGTAGGACGCCGGCATTGAATTCCGGCGCGAAATAATTCGCGCCCAAAGAGTTGCCCGGTCCAGTGGAACAGGGTCGTCTACGAAATGCATGACGCGGTGGGCTCTAGTCTCAACGATTTAATTAAACTACACGGACGGGTGCTTTTGCCGGAGCCGAAACCAGCGAAAAGCAGTCAGTAAGAACTCAAAGCCAGTTTCCGTTTCAGCTCCCTCCCGCCACCGGGATCGGGCTTATCCCTTTGAGTCTGCTAACTGCCTACCGTCTTGCCGGGCGAAGTCCGTGCACGATTCCTTCTTTTCCTGCCGGCAACGTGGAAGGAGTACTTAAAAGTTTTTACGGGCGCCCTCATTGAAAACGGAACCGCAAACGGGAGGCCCGCAGCGTTCATTGAAAGGAGTAGCTGCGGTCGCGGGCGCATCCTCACCCTTGATTCTCTTCACCGCTCCGCTCCGATCCGCTCGGCTCCGCTCCGCTCGGCTCTGCTCCTCGTCTTCTCGGCCCGCCTCTCGCGATTAGCGGGCGCGAGACTTCGACCGGTCAGATAAAGGCTAGGGGCAGACATACGAGCGGAATAGTTCATGAAAAGAATAGCAGAAGGCGAGGTAAGGCGAGGCAGGCAGGCAGGCAGGCAGGTCGAAGCAGGGAGAAGAGCAAGCTTGCAGACTTGCGAGCCTGGCCAGGCCAGGGCTGGCACGGCTGGCACGGCTTGCAAAGCAGGTAGGCAAGGCAGGCAGGCGGCTACGTTCCCGATAGCGAGGCAATGAGACGTCTTCGAAACGATCTAACAAAACAGATAAAAAGAAACCGGTTAGAGAAGCCGCGAAGGGTGTGCGGCAGAACCGCCTAAAGAGAGAACGGACTGGTAGGGGATCCGGTCTTCAAGAGTCATGAGTATCACCTCCGTTTCACTTATAATCATAATAAACTCGGGCTCTCGGCGTCGTCCGCAGTATCCACCGGCATCCAGAGGGCACTGCGGGGAACGTCGCGGCTAGACCAGGAAGAACGTGCCCCTCGAGCAGGGAAAAACGTTACCGAAGAAGCGCAGTCGCCAGATGGAATTGAAGTTGCGGTCACTTCTTGCCTCTCGTCGGACCATGTTGCTGGAAACACTGGTCTGCGGATTCCCTCGTTTACACCCTCCGAGGGTACCAGGACTACTCTTAATCGCCCCGCGCCTTTCGTTGTCCGATGCAAATTGAATGCGTACGAACCTCTGCTACGCTTTCCCAGTCATTGTTGTCCTAGGATATTCGCTTCTATTCTCGATAGTAATCCTCTACCTATTTTCTACGATTTTCTACTATCTACTATACTTTACTATCCGTTACTATCCTCTACTATCTTTCACTGTACTCTATCATTTTATGGTCTGCTATACAGAGCGTTTGAGAAATACGTAAGAATATTTTAACTGCTGAATTTACGACTAAGTTACCAAAAATATGTCATGGTTGTGTGTTATGTATTAAACGTCTGTAATGTTATGCCAAAAATGCCAAGGTTATGTTATGTTTCCTTAGCGAAAATGCAATCCGCGGCTTCGTTTACGAGTTATTAAAGAAAAACACTGACCAATAGGAGGCGAGATCAACTGGCGCCAGGCGGCCGAGCCAATGATCAGAACTAGCGATCGACCGCTCGTCGTCCTGATATTTTATGAAAGTTCCATTCAATTGCATCTGGGACCTCGCTGAGGCGCCATTTAATGCTACGACTACAATTCCGTGCAATCGATTATGGTCAATGCAATAGACTAACCAGAATATTTCTCAATGTAAATAGATTTGAAAGATCTCTGAATTTCTTCACTTCCTTTCTTACTTTTGGAAGTAATGCATTACTTTTACCTGTATTTCATCATAACGAAGGGTTCAACACGTTTATACTTAAGTAAATAATTAAACGTGGAGCACACAGGGTTGCCAGGGATCCTCTTATAAGTAAAAGAATTTCTTACGGACAAGTGTCCGAGAGGTTTGCCAGGAATCCTCTCATGCTGTGACGTATTACCTCAAGTACCACGTGACATCCATCAGTGACGTCACTGACGAGGAGTCGAACGGAGTAGGGTTAGAGGACAGCGGATTCGACCGACGCTGCGTGACCAATCGCAGACGCGAGAGGATCCCTGACAACCCTGCTGCCATCTGCCTTTACTCCGGTCAACTGCTCATCAGTGACGTCACCGATGGATGCCACGTGATATTTGAGAGAATACGTCACAGCACGAGAGGATTCCTGGCTGACCCTCTCGGACACTTGTCCGTAAGAAATTCTTCTATTTATTGCAACGTGTAGATGCAGCTTCACAAGCGTTGACATGTATTTCTGCAACACCCTGTACTGCGGCTTACTATGTACGGAAGAAGCACTGTCCGCAGCAAGTAAAACACCACAAGGGACTCTTGTCATCGATTACACGCGCGTTCGCGGTCGATCGTCGTTTTACCGGTGGCGGAGAGAGACCGGACACGGGAAAAAATTTTCTCTCCACAATACAGACAGTGAACCCCCGCGCTGCGGGTACGGAAATTTATAATATTACACGGCCGGGCCCAGCTTTTTGCCGATGAAACTAATTTCGTGCCGGGCGCTGATAGAAGGTTACCTATCGCAATTTTGCGCGGCGGTGGGTCGTGCCTGCGGTTTTCGGTTTTCTCGTCTCCTTTGAGCTGCCTTCGTACAACTTTCTTTCGGTAATGGGCCAGACCGTTTCTCTTTGGGGGGCCATCGTCGTCGGGAGGATGTGTGCGGCGACGGTTTTTGGTGCCGCGTCGAGATCGGCGTTCGTTACTTCGATTGGACCTGTTTCATCGTTGATCGCTTCGACGGTTGTGCTTTGCTTCGTTCGTCGGAATAGAATGACACTGAAACATCAATGAAAACCATGATCACCTCTGGTAGATATTTATAAATAATTCAGTAGTCGTGTGAAAAATTCGTCTGGAATTAAGACGAATTAAAAAAGAAAGTCAAAGTAGAATATTCAATGTTGTATGTAATTGTGAAAGAATTGCCTTTCTGGAAACAGTGGCGTCAGAAAAATTTGATGTTCATGGTAGCATCAATCTCCCTAAAAGGTTCAATTAGAAAGGTCAAGGTTCAACTTGAATGGATAGCCATTCAGTGTGACCTCTTGTGCTGTGACAACCAGTCAGATTTGTCTTGCAGTCTTCATACATGATCTAAAAAAACATTTATCAAAGAAACGATTAAGAACAAAGACGTACAAAGACTAAAAGCTTGATATTCTTTAGAGTGAAACGAATCGGTATTAAGTTATTTCGACACGTAATTTTCAAGAAAATAAGAAGCATAAATTCCGCAAAGCTATTCAATTAAAAACAGTCAACATCTAATTTCGAAGGAAACAGCTGGCTGAATTACTTATTTAACCCCTTAATGCACAGTTTTTTTTAAAAAGGCCGGCCAAAAAGAATCAATTTTTTTTAATGTAAAAAAACACAATTTAGAACGTTGTCTTGGCAAGAAAATTACAAAAATACAAAAATAATCAACATTTTTATTGCAATTCTAATTTTCAGAATATTACTATTATTATTATTATTATTATTATTATTATTATTATATTTTATTTTACATTATATTCTAGTAAAGTATATATTGAAAAATGAACGAATCAGAATCTGAATATGAATACGCTGTCGGAAAGCGGCTCACAAGAAACAGACAAGTCGTAAGTGATAAGTAGAAAAAGGATATATTTTATACTTGAATAAGTAAGTGTTATAGCTTACAATCCCATGTAAATGATAAATATCAATAAAACGATCGTTTTTTTTTGCTTTCACATTGTTATTTTCAATTCTCGATTGCATTAGAGTGTGAAAAATGATAGCAACATAAAGTACAAAGCCGCTCGAATTATCTCGAGTGTGCACAGTTTGGCCAGGGGTTAATTACCTATCGAGTATAGTCGAAGAATCGATATCATTGAGAGTGAAACGAATGTCCCCGTATCAAATTATCTTGGCACGTGACTTTTCGGGATTGTCTTAACGCTGTTTGTCAAACGGCTGGTTGGCACCGACAGGCACCTGATCGAGCGTCGAATCGTGAAACAGGCCCGAAGATAAAGCGATTCGATTTCACCGGGAGCGTATTCGATGCATTAACGAGGCAGCAATAAAACAGGGATAACATTATAGGTAGCTGGTCGTATTAATTGGGCCCAGCCGGGTCTTTCGCGGAATCGCGGTAAGATACCGCGCGCGCGAAATAATTGCAACCGTGACCGTCACTTTTACACGTAACTGATTTGCTCCATTACAGGTGCGCGCCTCGCTATTGAATAATTTATGCGATCGAAAGCCGCTGGTGGGTGGTACCATAAATCAAGGGACCACTATCGATAGAATGTAGAAACGGCAACGGACTGGTATTCGCACATGTGGGCGTATATAAATAAGACAGCGTGTCGATCTAATCGATCTGCCGTGGAACGTCCGTGCATGAAGCTGACGCGGGCTGATGAACCCTCCAATGCTGTTTCGAGGCACGTTACGTTGCAAGTTGCGCAATCATCTATTCCTCTAACCCGTGCGCTCGGCACACATTAGATCCAAGTAATAAGTAATCGCTAATTCTCCCGTCGCAATGTACGTCCGGTTTGTTGTAACGTTTGTTTCCCCATTCGCCAATTTATCGCACGTGCAATTTCTCTGGCTTCGAGAAGCACACAGAGATCGGCTGTGATTCTTCTGACTTCCAACGCAGTTGTTCGTAAATTTTACATGGAACAGGAACAATATAAACTTTAACGTCGGATAAAAATGTTCACCAAATTGTTGAATATCGTATAAAGATTTAATGCTTAATATTTTCTTCGTTTTAACCCGTTTGATCCTTCTTGTTGCTCTCCTGAGTTGCTAAATCAATGTTTTATTCTCCCTATTTCTGAACGTTGTCAATTGTTTTATGCAATAACTATTTAATATCTTGTGGACAGGTTCAGTGTCCTGGTTTTTTACTACGAAGGCGCGAAGAAGAAGCAATATCGTAATAGAAAATAGTATTCAGTTTGACGCCGGTTGGCGTCATCCGTAGATAAGCCATTGAGAAAATTGGTGGTAATTTATATGAGCATTAATATATAAGAATATATATAATATAATAATATATGTAATATAATAATAATAATATATATAATATAATAATATATTAATAATGTAATGATAATAATTTAATAATAATATAATAATATATAAGAATTATAATTGAACTCTTGGTCATTGGACGTGGATTGAAGTCTTTTTTACCGAAGTTTACACTAACTACAAATAAATAGTAAAATATTACTTCATTGTTTCTAAATACATCGGAATCGCTGTTCTGCCTCTAAAAGGTCATCTAATATCCACGAGGTCAATTTAACTACCACATGGTGATTTAGCCACCGCAGAGTCCGGTTCCTATCACGAAAGAATATCAATTAAAGAAGTCTGTCATGTTCGACGCGAGCAGCAGGAAGTTTAACACTCGAAAGTACAATGTCATTTATTGAATTTCTTACCGACACGACCGCCATTTGGGCAAACATAAACGCTACTGATGTATACATTAGGCTATCATTATATCCAGTGGCGTAGCTGCAGAAGTCGTTGCAAACCAGAAGTTAGTTACGACTGCTGCAACAAGTCATTTAATGGATAATTTGTGCTTAGACAGGTCGTTCCTCGTCGACCTCAGAAACAATATACTTAGCATAATCGGTTGAGTGGTAAAAGTGAGAATGCTGAGGAGAGAGAGAGCGAGAGAGAGAGAGAGAGAGAGAAATGCTGAGGGAGAGGTAAAACGGAAACATTCGATTTCACTGCGGGAGAAAATTATAAACTGCCTCTGTCCAAGGTGATCCAAGGACAACAGTGGTTGCGGTTGCAAATCTCCGGGTGCTCGAACTTCGCCATGCTGATGGAATGAAAAGGTGAAGTCATGTTGCAGCTGCCTCCACTATTTTTAATGAAGCATGATCATTATAATTGAAAACTTCTCGTTCCGAGAGACTAACAAGACATCATGTGCGCTCCTCGAAACATTTTGACCTGCAACTGTAGTCTCCACTTTGCCTGTGACATTGCAGTTCTACTTCGGCTATAACTTGTTTGTAGTAACTCATACTCTAGGGATAATTTAACACTTCGACTGCTACCACGATAATCTCAAAAATATCACAAAACTAAAGTATTTTATACAATCAAATTAAAATTGACAAGTTAAGTTGCATAATATCGGTTTCTTTTTCAATATTCTTACCTTTCTGCGGATCTTAATAAAATTCGAAAAATACCAGATTAGCGTAATAATTAATTTTTAATTCTGAGCAAATCATTCCTGCGGATAACTCGAAGCGTTAATGGAAAACTCGTAGAATTTACGAGGTTCACAGTTGCTTATACGTTATATTCTACAAGGATCTATATATTCTATAAGGATCTACTTATTCGAGGTTTTCGTTCGAATGTTTTTGCAAAACAGTCAGAATAATTGAACATATGGTGCGACTAATTAGAACCGGAAAGAGGCAAGAACTCGGATGAACAAAAGTTTTAAATATTTCGCATTCGGATATATGTATTTACTTGGGCCCGTTGATCAACGATAGAGCCACAGACAGAAACTATTAATCAATTTAACAGCTTCCATTCGAAATTTAGTGAGAATTGAGACTCCGACAGCGACTGGCAATAATTAAATCTCGCGGAACTTCCGAAAGACTGAAATTGACATTTCATTACCTGCGAAACGTTTCTAAATTGCAGAACCACCTGAACGAATTACAATAATCAAATATTACGATTCGATTAGTCACTGCTGAATCGATATACATTGTATATATACATATACCTGAGTCGATATACGTATACGGATATGCTTGAGACGATGCTACGCCATAATTGATCATTTTCGTGCTCCGTAAATTATTTTATTTATCTATCTTAGAAAATTATTTATTGGAAAGAACTGATCATAGTAAACAGATCATAGGTTGCACAATTCATTATAAAACACATACCTCGTATACTTGATGCTTAATACAACATTTCGAACTATAAATAAATAGATAAACTTAGGTAAATTCTCTTCAGAAATAAATACTTGTACATGATGTATTTCAAATGAAATATGAAAATATAGTAATAACATAATCGATTTTTAATATACACGCTGTCACACGTAACTCGAATATTTATATCTCGCTTGTTTTTTTATGATAGAAAAAAATGTTAGGGGAAAATATTAGTTGGTTCAGAGAGGCAAACATTATGATAGGCAAAAAAATTTGTCCGTGGTTATATTTTTTGAGATTTCAAGGCCATCGAAGTTTTTTTAAACGGAATGATATAATTTTATTTATTATTATCTATTATTATCTATTATTATTATTATCTATAATATTATTGTTATTTATATTATTATCTATTATTTTATTTATTATTATCTATATATAAATATTTATATATTTGTCGTGATCTCGGCTATATAATAGATAATAAAAATATGTCATTCCATTTAAAAAAAACTTCGATGATCTCTTGAAGTCTCAAAAAATATAACCTTGAACAAATATTTTTGCCTATCATAATATTTGCCCCTCTGAATCGGTTAATGTCTTCCTCTGATATTTTTTTCTATCATAAAAAACAAACAAGATATTTTAAATGCACAAGACAGGCGAGACATCCTGCATACAAACATAATATGTTATAATATANTCTATAAGGATCTACTTATTCGAGGTTTTCGTTCGAATGTTTTTGCAAAACAGTCAGAATAATTGAACATATGGTGCGACTAATTAGAACCGGAAAGAGGCAAGAACTCGGATGAACAAAAGTTTTAAATATTTCGCATTCGGATATATGTATTTACTTGGGCCCGTTGATCAACGATAGAGCCACAGACAGAAACTATTAATCAATTTAACAGCTTCCATTCGAAATTTAGTGAGAATTGAGACTCCGACAGCGACTGGCAATAATTAAATCTCGCGGAACTTCCGAAAGACTGAAATTGACATTTCATTACCTGCGAAACGTTTCTAAATTGCAGAACCACCTGAACGAATTACAATAATCAAATATTACGATTCGATTAGTCACTGCTGAATCGATATACATTGTATATATACATATACCTGAGTCGATATACGTATACGGATATGCTTGAGACGATGCTACGCCATAATTGATCATTTTCGTGCTCCGTAAATTATTTTATTTATCTATCTTAGAAAATTATTTATTGGAAAGAACTGATCATAGTAAACAGATCATAGGTTGCACAATTCATTATAAAACACATACCTCGTATACTTGATGCTTAATACAACATTTCGAACTATAAATAAATAGATAAACTTAGGTAAATTCTCTTCAGAAATAAATACTTGTACATGATGTATTTCAAATGAAATATGAAAATATAGTAATAACATAATCGATTTTTAATATACACGCTGTCACACGTAACTCGAATATTTATATCTCGCTTGTTTTTTTATGATAGAAAAAAATGTTAGGGGAAAATATTAGTTGGTTCAGAGAGGCAAACATTATGATAGGCAAAAAAATTTGTCCGTGGTTATATTTTTTGAGATTTCAAGGCCATCGAAGTTTTTTTAAACGGAATGATATAATTTTATTTATTATTATCTATTATTATCTATTATTATTATTATCTATAATATTATTGTTATTTATATTATTATCTATTATTTTATTTATTATTATCTATATATAAATATTTATATATTTGTCGTGATCTCGGCTATATAATAGATAATAAAAATATGTCATTCCATTTAAAAAAAACTTCGATGATCTCTTGAAGTCTCAAAAAATATAACCTTGAACAAATATTTTTGCCTATCATAATATTTGCCCCTCTGAATCGGTTAATGTCTTCCTCTGATATTTTTTTCTATCATAAAAAACAAACAAGATATTTTAAATGCACAAGACAGGCGAGACATCCTGCATACAAACATAATATGTTATAATATATTATATAAAATGTATTAATATATTTAGATGTATAAATTCATATCTTTATACACATATAGTACATAGCACGAGTGACTCTAACGAATTCCTTTGGAAGTGAATAACAAGCTCATTGTTTACACATAACGATAAGTATGTTTGCCGGCTCGTTCGCACACAACACGATCAAAATATTTGCATTTGCACTTGGAGCAGGCGCACTGAAATGGTTGAAAATTTCCGTAGCTCGTCCCTCTCGGTTCTCCTTTTTCATCGTCTGCCGTGCGGCGAGGAGTTATTTTAACGAAATTAATTAAAGTAGCATATACGAAGCTCCTGGCAAAGGACAGTGTCTCTTCCTTCAGCGCATTCATTCTAGTCTCAATAGTAATTTCGGCACGATGTTGCAGCATTTTCTTTTGACAATGGTTCCTTCTTCTCGTGCTAATTGCAAAGCTCTCCCACGTGATTCGTTTCTAAAGACCTATTTCGATGTGGCCGTAATACCAGCGAGATATAGGAATTACATCGCGCGTTATTGTTTTTTCTCCGGCTACAAGTTACGACTGGATATATTAACTTTTTCGTGTTTCGAGTTGTTCCAACTTTAATCTAGGCTACCGCGAAACGGTCTCTCTTTCTTCGTTTTCGAAGGCAGAGCGCAAGGCAAATGTAGAACAAGCTAAAATTGAAATAACTTGGAAGATCCGCGGATGTTTACTTCGACTTTTTAGAGGATGCTAATTCCTTCTGCAAATATTATGACTGCAGACTCGGAAGATAGAATTTTACCGCGTCCAGTGTAATTACTACCATTTCAATTTAAACCGAAAGAACGCTCCACAGGAAACCAATTTCCTTGCTGACTTAACAGTTTTATTAATCGTCGCCGACACGAACACGTAATCTTCGAACCTTCCCCGTAACTTGGTTAATTTTATTAAACACCCTATTATTACATTATTATACAATAAGAGATGTGGTGAATCCTTCCGTTTAGGACTTTAACCTCTTGTCGTATTTCCTTTACAGTTACAAGTTTTCTATTGTAACAATTCCATAGAAGAAAAAGAAAATATATTATGTTTATAATATATTATTATTTATTATATTATAATATATTATTATTATATTATTATTATTAATTTTATATTATGTTTATTAATGATACAATATCGATGACAAGAGAACAAAATTTTATTCCGACTTGAAAAAGAATGTGATAACATTCGTACGTAGCAGATCATGTTTTGAGAAATCTTTGCACATTTCTGTGTCGATGAATTACGGCAGAGATATCGTAAAATGGTGGAACAGTTGAATATTTTGCGAATGTTCCACGATCCCCCCGGTTCTCGTGAATTATTAGCGACGAAGCAGCTTCGACAAGCACGGTGGAATTACTCGACAAAAAGTTGCAATATTGGAGTGCGTCGTAATGAATACTCGCGAAGCACCGGGGAAACTATTTTTCAGCCCTAATAACATGGCCCCGACGAACTTGTCAGACGTCCCCTTAACGAAACGCGATGTTCCTCTCTCTCTCTCTCTAACACAAAGAATCCGATCACGTCTGTACACTTTCGCGCAGCGAAACGACAAACGTGGCGAGGTCAAACAGAAGACAATGCGCTCTGAAACTTCGTCTCTCCTTCAGAGAAACTTCGTCTTTGTATGCGGATCAATTAGACTGAATTCGTCGAACTTCGTCCCCGCGGTAGTCGGCCCGCACAACAGTCGTGCAAAGTATACTGTGACTTTTCATCAAGACGAAAGACGAAACCGGCGAACGCTGCTTTCCTATCTAACGTTCAATTGCAACGTGTTACTTAAATTCTTGTATACCGTGATTGACTATACCGTGGATTGAAACCTGTCGGTGTCTCGGGCGCTGTAATATTCTTGTTGCAGCTTATTTCGTATAATAAAATATTTCTTGAAAACCGAAAGGTTATTATATACGGCCACTCACACGTGTTCAACGAAATAGCGATACGATATGAAGCAATCAAGGTAATAATAATACACATGAACTCTATGAGACGGAAAAAACACGCGCACGCTACTCTGCGGTTCGAACAAAACTAAACTGAAAAATCAACGACAAGCTCACCGCGTCAGTTTTTTCGACCGCTGAACTGCGTTGTCGCTACAGTTCCCAAAAGAAAAAACAAACATTCTACACTCACGATCGCGTACAGGGTGTTCACCGTAACGGTCGTCACGATTTTTGTGGCATTTCGATTCAGTAGTTTGATGGGAATAAAGTGCATTCATAAAAATTGCGAAAAATTTTTTGTTCAATAAGAAACTAAGATCACCTTGACTTTTTTTAAACGGTACTATGTATTTTTCACGCCATATTGTTATAGCTGACGAAAAATTGAATTCAATGATTCGCCATACAATGACCTTCGGATGACCTTGAGCTCAGAAATTGACGATAACCTAAGTTTCCTACGCGTTAATGAAACGTAAAAAAACTCATAGTCAATGATACTTTCGAACTGAATGTAAACAGTAAACACACATCTTCAATTCGATCTTTTCTTCAAGAACCGAAACCGATATCATAACTGTTTTCAATCCGTGGTTATTGTTTACCAGCAAGTTTACTGCTTTAAATTTATAGTTCATTTATAGTTACTGGGCTGTAAGTTTTTATGCAAATTCCCAGTTTCATATATTTTATAAGAATCAGAATTATTGGAAAACATCAGCTAGAAAATTGTTCGTCGTAAAAATAAAATAAAAATGTTATTAGTTCTTGTTAAATAGTATATTTCCTTTATTTTACAAATCAACGTATAGTAGTGCGAATCCGAATTTATTTCACTCGCCTTTCCAACATTTTACTGTGTACAGATTACATTTCAACACTTTGCTCAACATTTTCGAAAATATGACCAACACCACTACGATTTTAAGCTCCTAGCTTAATTATTAAAGACGGGAGATAATATTTAATATCCTTCTTTTTAATGCTGAAGCTGATGTAGTTTTAGCATTCTAGTTCGAAACTCAACAGCGATTGACGTGCCATAAACCTCCTGATACATCACGACAATCAATGAGTCCGGTACAGGCGGCGCTCCCATGGGACCGGTACCTCTACCGGCCATTTCAAGGGTTAATTTCACCCCGAGGCAACTGCGATCTCGTTTGTTAGTTGTGTTGCTACCTCATTAGTATATCCTATTATACAGACGAAGTCATCTGAAACGAAAAGTCAGATTATCTTCCTTATTCCTATTTATATATTAGCAATCTTACTCATAGTTATTTTGTCTTTGATATGTCGATGATCGTCGTTTAACTCCGACGAGGTACATACTATCTCAGTGTTCAAGGTAATAGGAAAGACAATTTAATCATGCTCATTAGGCTCATTAGGTATTACATACATTTTATCATGGTCGCTTTTCTGAGATTTCATTCTACCTTAAATCATAATACTTAAACGAACAAATGTATTGGAATTTCAGCCGTTTCAGTGTAATTACGACTTTATTTTTAGGAATGATTAAGGATAAAGCCGTTTTTATACTCGACTGAAAGATCCAGAACGACCGTATCGGTAGCGAAGATAAAAGCGAAGATAAAAGACCCAATCGAGAGCTACGAAGTCACGTTGCCTTGGAGAATACAAAGAAGTAACATAGAAGATAAATTTTGTCTATTTATCAGATAAATCGAACACGACGGCATTCGATCGTACTTAAATCGTTGACCTACGAAAGACCTTCGTCACGGTTTAAAATGTTCTCGACGGGGAAATTTGCATTGACAGCGTAGACGCGATGTAGTAGATTCGATCCCAGATGTTTTGCATTCGCAGAAACTTGGCAGCAAGTAATTTTCATTGTCAGATTTCAAGCTTAAGTTGCACGTCGTTGACGTTATTATAATATTTCTCAACGAAGTGTGTTCGCATGGAATGAGAAGGAAATTACTATGTTTCGCACACGTCTTCCTCCACCTCCACGCGGGGTATAGGCATTTGATACCGGTCGGAATCGACTCTCTGCATCATTGTTAGACTGTCCGCCTTTCCCGGCTGAAAACAAGTCTAAGAGGAGCCGGTTACCTAGAATATTCTGCAATAATATTCAGTCTCATTAAACACTCTAATTAGTAGTATACGTAGGAAAGTGACTGTGCAGCCTTGCGCTCTCTCTTTCTTTCTCTCTTTCTCTCCCTCTCTCTCTCTTTCTCACTGTGTGGGCGTTTCAGATTATATCTACGTCTAATAAGCACGTTCAGTAACTATCAGCTTTCCTACTTACCCTCCAGAGTCACGACAGCTAAAGATTGATCACCGGGATTACTCGAATAATATTCCCGATACTAATTAGGTGGTACAAGAAGCAGCCTATTAATCTGGCCAGAGTTTCTGTAAACAATTGCGTTGGTAAATGCGTTTAGTAATTGTTATTGACTGGCTTTCATTAGAGTGGTCGGGGACAGGCTTTCCCCATTCCATTCGTTACGTTAAAACTGTCTCAAAACACGCCGGTTATGAGCCAATGTTGTTCGCGCTAATTATCCTTTAACTTTTAGTGCCCTTATAGTGCCCTTATAGCGACACATCGTTGTTGCCTGCACTTTCTCCATTTATGTTCCCTTTTTGATCTTTCTAATTATGTATCGTACAATATCATTACCGCAACATGGTTCTCATTTATTTGGCCATTACATTTCGTTTTCTAACACTTTCTCTGCCATGCCAGCACCCTAAAATATGTCATAAAATTAAAGTATTTTATTTATCCAAATTCGAAGATTGGAAAGTTACGTTCTACGACATCAATTACTTTCTCATTGTTCTCGCGATCTCCGGATTCCAATAAAACTAGAAAGATATAATAGGTTAGCACAAAATTTAATTTTCTAATCTGCGTAAATTATTCCTACCTATTCGTGCATGACGCGGTGCTCGCACTAAACCTACCGACATTTTATGTAAACAGTATAGTCTCTCCGAATGACCTAAGATAGCACAAAAACGTCTGGTCTTTAAGACGTCCCGAATAATATCCTATGAACAGCCGACGAACGTCCTAGGAACGTCCTGCGTTACAAATCAAGACATTTTATGGACGTCTTTAAGGCGTCTTTTAGACGTCCATAAGATGTTTTATGCCCGTTATAATTGTAGCCACTAAAAACACCTTGAAGGCATATTTCAAGTGACTTAAAGACGTCTAGAAATAGATGTCTTAACTCTTTGAGCCGCGAGTTGTGCGACATTAAGTGTTCGCTGTGGGCTACACAGCACAACCTTTTGCTACAAAGCACACGCTGGGCTGCACATTTTTAGCGACGAAGCGCTTGCTGGACTGACTGCAATTTTATTTCAAAATATATCGATTTCAATCGAAATCATTTGAATAGTGATTGCAAAAACAACGAAATCATTTATTTCGTGAAACAATAATAACGTGAACAATATAAAAAGTATTAAATTATATCTTTCAAATTGAAAATTTAATCATTTTGTGTTGAGTGATCTCATATATGTGTTCATAGCCGACGGTGAATGACTTTGCCGAATGCATATGTGGATTCATAGAGCTGAAAGGGTTAAACATGGCTCGAAACAGACATATTAAAGACGTCCATTTTTGGGCGTACGGCGTTCAGACCTAAAATGGACGTAAAATAGATGTTTTTAAGACCTCCAGTATTTATTGGGTCCCTCAGCTTGTAAACAAAACTTGACAATTTTGGAGGAGGAGACACGATTGTAACAAGCCTTGTGACTCCTTTTTATAGTTGTTGACATTAGGCAAATATCTTCTCTTCCCAAATTGTCCATTTTTGTTTACAAGCTGAGGAATAATTGAAGAGAATTTACCGTACCTATTTCTACCGAAAGCGATTAAATGACCATTTTTTAAACAAACGTTATATTCTTTGAATACAAATAATAGGCAATTTACCATGTGCAATAGAGCACAAAATAACTTTCAAGTAATAATTAGTACAAATTTATTTTTTCTATCTTACACATATACGTTCGTTAGAAAGAAGACACCAGAAATTGAAAAAAATTATATTTTACTTCATTAATTTAAATATTCTTGTTCACAAATTCAAATAAAATTTATTGAATATGAGAACACGTTTTGTAACATCGCTATGCGAGGAGATATTTTGGGGAAAACATTTAAGTAGACCACCCTGCGCAATAAAGTAAAAGTGGCGCAGTGGTTGTGGAAGGCGAGAACATTGAAAAATTTCGCTGAAGATTTAAAACGAACCCCTCCGGTAGGTTTACTGTTGAAGTGTTAATGAAAATTGCGTGCGCAACGATCGCAAATATTCGACGTAGAATAAATTCGCAGCGCCAGAAGTATAAAATCCGCGCCCGAGAATATTTCGCTGACATCCAGACAAATGAAACCGTCCACAAAGGGAAGATTCTTTTGCATCCGCGGTATCTATCCGACCCGAATTCATTCCGAAAACTTCTTTTCTCTCATAGAGAGTAATGAAATTGCCCGGATGTTTCCGCACGAATCTCCCGCGGGAACGTAGCCTCATTACAAAGGTGTCTTCCCTCCTCCCTCTCCCTTCCCCGCGGAAACGCGATCGCGGAATTATTATTTTTTTCGGACGACCGCCGCCGGCCTGTATCCTCGACATTTAATCGGCACGCGTGCGAGCCACGGGGTCTCTCGTGGAAAATTCGTTCTTCGCTGTCTCGGCCATTCGTTTCCGACGGCCAAAAAGAAGCCCGGGATGTCTGCAAAGCGGTAAATAAATCGATGGATAAACGGGTCGTCGCTTGTACGCGCGTGCTGGAGTGCTGGTGCATAAGAAATTTATCGACGCGTTCTCGGCTATCACACTTTGTACACCGACGTCTACCGGGTGCTCGCGAAACCGGCCGTCAAGATTTAGGTGCTGCCCGAATTCTCTCGTTCCAACGAGATTTTCGCTCCGCGCCGCGTATCCGAAAACAATTCGGACAAATTGAAGCTCTTTCATTGAATTAGCGTACGTTCGCACCATCGGATTGGCTTTAGGCGACGTATCCTCGACGTGTCCAGCTGCCTTCTAG